TGTTCTGCTTGATGTCTGATCTGCTTCCTAATTAAGTTATTTCGGAAAGGAAAAAAAATAATAAATCGTTTCGGAATGCATTTGAATTTTTCCAAAAGCATCGTAGAAAATGCCTGTTTTGAAGAAACAAAATGGTGCGAAACCGATTTAAAAATTTAATCTACATCTTCATTAATTTGTACATACATCACTCAAATTTACAGCTGTTCGATCAGTTACTCTTAGCAAATAGCAGTCCTAATACTTTTTAAGAAGCCAGTTAATTAACATTTATATATATATATAGCAAATAGTAGTCCTAATACTTTATATATATATATATATATTAAAAGAGTTGTAGCTGATGTTAACTATCTGAAAGGGATTTGAGTGCCGAAAGGGAGTAGGAACGGACCGACGAACAAGTAAACAATTGGGAGAACAGGCAGCAGAAAACAGACAAAACAAGTGGACTTAGAAGCAATGGAATTCAAAGTAGTGTTAGATTCCAAGACCAGCTGCCGACAATTTAGGCCAGACAAATTTAATCTTAGATATCATAAATCATTCAAGCACAGTATTTGGTATTTGGATTGACTTGTGAATCTTGTTTGAGCAAATTCATGAGTTTTCCCTTCTGGCCAAAATACAGGAAAAAAATTAAGCCAAATCCATCATATGTGAAATCCAATATTGAAGTATCAACATGAATTACCGTATATGTATTGACTCCATAGGGATATATTGCTACATCATTTCTTAAAAATTTAGAAGAAGCCAATCTACGGTTTCATCAATATACCAAATAATAATAATAATACTAATAATTCATGTTATTAAATTAATTATTAATTAAGTATTAAAATGAATGAAAATAAAACTATTATATATATATATATATATATATATATATATGCGCCAATGGACTAATCAAATCAGTTATTTTTTTAAACTAGAAGGATACATTACACATCATTAATTTAAACTTTCTTAAAACTAACTATTATTAAATATTTTATTTTATTTTTAAATTAATTTTAATTCTAATTTTTTTTAAAGGCTTAAAATGAAATAATCAATATTTTGACCATCAAACATAATAAAAATAATAAAAATTATTTAAAAATTAATAATTTAAAATTTAAATATTTAAAATTATAATGCATTTCTTATTTTACTGCAATCTTAACAGTTTCTAAGTAAAATATGTCTGTAATCGAAATTTGACTTGACTAGTCGAATGCTTTCATAGGTATTGGTGCATAGTTGCCCAGAATCCGCGTGTTTCCATCATGGGTTGACGTGAAAGTTTATCTATAACAGTAGTTTATAAAAGAATAAATTACTTTAAAAATTTTGTTGACTATTATGCGTTTCATACAATACTATTATTTTAATATTCTGTCAATACCATTAAGTAAATTCATCCCATTTCTAATTAAGAAAAATACCTATACACGTAAAATTATTAAAAAAATATATATATTTTTAGAATGAATCCTAAAAAATAGGATTATCCAATTTTTATCATTATTTTTATATTTTTACACCACTATAAATTCTAAATAACATAAAACAAACTACTTCAATCACTACTAAACTATATAATACTATATTGGTTCTCAATTTTGGTTATAAAAAATATTTAAAAAAAAGCTTAAAAACAAACCAATAAGAAACATCAAATATTAAAATTAAAAAATTGAATCCTTAGTTAATTTTTTATAGGTTATTTTTTTTTCAAAGTTATTTTTTGCTCTTTTTAATAAACCGTAATAATATTAAAAAATTAATATATAAATTTTTTATGCATGTATGTAATTTTAATTTATATTCATGCAACATATAATTGAAAAGAAAAAAAGGTTCATTATATGATAATGTTAAGCAAGTATTTTTTTAAGAAAATAATATTATTTAGGAGTTAATATATATATAATTCAATTCATCATTCAATATGAGAAATTGAAAGAGAGTTACAACTAATTCAACAATTTATATACTTTTAATTATTCATAGTTTTTTTGAATTCTCTTTCCAATTTTAAAGCTTATAAATAGGCTTGATTGTTCATTAGTTGATGTATAAGTATTTTATAGAGATCGAGAGAATCATTTGAGGTTGTTATCTCTTTATTCACTTTATTTTATAGTGAATTCATTTTTTTATCATCTTTCTCTTCAATTCTACTATTGTTACAATTTCTTTTATAATAATTCTTACCATTAATTATTAATAATTTGAAAGATAATTCAATTTACACCCTTAATTTTTACTTAAATCTGGTTAAAACTATTTTATATGGTTCAAAAATTAAATAATTTAATTTAATTATTATTATCAAAATTTATATAAAATTATTTGAAACAATCAAACATGTTTTTCAAAATTTATATAAAATTATTTGAAATTCAAACAAGTTTATTTAGTCAGCATTGATATTTATTCATTTATAAATAATTTTAAACAATCTAATAGAAATTTTTTTAAAAAAAAGCTACATAAATTGTCTAGATAATGCAAAAAAACTAGTAATATCAAAATGAGGAAACTTAATTTTGACCTTAAAATCGCATCTTGATCAGTAGGTAGTAAAAATACCTGAGTAACTGGGTAAAGTTTTCTAAATTGTAAAACATATATATGCGATGTCTAAGTTCTTTTTCAAACATATATATTTTTTGTTTTTGTTTTTCCTTTTTCCTTTCATGGGATCTAAAAACTTCAATTATTAGGTGAGATCCATAATATCCCTTTAAATGAAAGCCTTTTGGACTGAAAACTTATACGGATTCACGTTATCCTTAATTGTTAGGTTAGTAAAATTTTAATATCATATGAAATGATCATTTCATCAAAAAAGTTAAAACGTTATGCATGATTTCAGTATATGATTTATATTATTACTTAACAATATTTATGTATTAAAATTTGCCATTATGTGTTAGGATCAAAATAAATATTTGTTACATAATTAGGTATCATTTAATGGTACTTGTATATCCCATGGTTTTTTTAATAAAGTTGGTTTGAGTATTAATGATTCTAGTATATTTATTATTATTATTATTATTATTATGTAATAGAGGAAAATTATTTTTTTTATTATGTAGTCCAAAGCTCAACAAACCTCTCATAAATCAAAAAAAGAAAAAAGAAAAAAGAATATTTGTTGACTCGCATATCGTGTGACTCAGCAAAAGAATTCCTTCCTACCAATAAATAAATAAATAATTCCTTGCTTCTTCTTCGGTTCAAAAGATTGTAAAACAATGGGAATATATGTGGATTGATAAAGAATTCCTTGTTTGTGATTTTAAGTTTTTTTTTTTTGAAATATATATACATACATATACATGACTTCCAAGTCCGTTGTTTGAATTTCATTTGCATGATTGCATTGATCCATTTCTAGGCTAAGAAAAAGGATATGATAAAACTCATAACATGCATTCTGGAAAATATCATTTTCGACCTATGGGATTTAGCGCAAAAGATCCACACCGGTGCTGATGGTATAAGTATTGAATATCTTCGTAATCTGTAACTAACAAACTGCAATGGTATATATCAACACTGGTGGTGGTGGTAAAGGTAATGCTTGCCTCCCAAAGCTTTTATTTATTTATTTATAAATGAATCTTAACCAAATCATTCACATCAAACTAATGCATTCGTGAGTTTTCTTTTATTTTTTAAATTCTAACACTGAACAATAAGGTGAAGAACAAATTAATTCAATTCACATCAACCAGTCTAAACCTATGGGTTTAATCGAAAATAAGTGGCAGCGTGTTTGGAGTAAAAGTACCCATTGACTATGCTTTTTTGACTCAATAATGAGCCACTACCATGCATGACGTTGTGTCTCTTGGGAATTTTTGACCAGTTAGCATTTGCATGTTAATTTTATGGACTTGAAGACTATCCAGATCGATGTTAATTAACGTCTAAATACATTGCATTGATTGAGTTTCATGCATCTCTAGAAGAAATGATGATGTTAATCAAATTGTAATCAATATGGTATATTCCACTTTTCAAGAGATATGTTTTGAAGTTTAATTCTGGTTCATTGGGAGCCTGCCCAGTGGGACGACGGTGTAGGTAGGTTATTATGTTTTGAAGTCTAATTCTCATGACGGTTTATACTCGAGAATACTTCAAGAATTATATATATATATATATATCATCCTCCATTATTTTAGTTCTGCAAGTATGAGTAATTATCTCTTTAACTTCCATTCGACTATTTATCTTAAAATCGAGACATATTGATCGTAATATTCATTTAATTATAATCTCTTAAAATTTATATTCGATTTTATTGTAATTCTTATTTTTATTCTTCTTATTATTATTATTTTACAAAGAATTACCATACTCTTTTTTTTCTTTTAGATTTTTTTATTTAATAATAATATATATTTTTATTTAATTTTTACGTTAATAAAATTAAAATTAAAATCTATTTGGTCGTTCCATAGCAAAGTGGTTATAATGAGAAAATTCAAAATTTTTCGTCGTGCATGGTTGTGTACCACAAGTTTCCATCTAATGTTTCATTTGTTCAAATACACTATTAATGCATCATTAATGATTTTGCATATATATATATATATATATATATATTGGAAGTTACCTGCAATCTTTAATTAATACATGTATATATATAGCTAGCCAACAACTTTTCTTACTTTGACCGAAATACTTCCTTAGAAAATATTATAATTCTCCATGAGAATAGGACCAGTAAAAGAGACGACCAATCCCCACACACGCACAATAAATTAGCCGCATTCTCTTACCAATCCTTAGACAGAATTTTTTTCTCATTTCCACATTTGATCATTCATCATCAATCTCTCTATTTTGCAGCTTGCTAGCTAATTAATTTCATAATAGTAATCTGTTTCCTTACACACTCATAAATTTTTAACATTTGGCGGCACTTTCAATATTATTTCATGGATGATGTTGAAGTTCCAAAGTTTTTTATCTGCCCAATATCTCTCCAAATCATGAAAGACCCGGTTATAACCATAACTGGCATCACATATGATCGTGAGAGCATTGAGCATTGGCTATTCACTAGTGGAAAAACAACCTGTCCAGCCACCAAACAGCCCTTGCCAAAAGACTCAGATTTAACCCCTAATCACACCTTACGCAGATTGATCCAAGCTTGGTGCACTGAGAATGCATCGCATGGTATTGATAGAATCCCCACACCTAAACCTTGTCTTGACAAAGCCTATGTCCTTAAACGCATAAAAAACCTTTCGCATCAAGAGTTGCAAATTAAGACTCTTGCACAATTGGAATTGCTTGCGGCGGAGAATGAAAGAAACAGGAAGTGCATGGTGGATGCTGGCTTGCCTAAGGCCATGCTATTGTTTATAGTAGCATGTTTCAAGAAAGGTCAAGTTTCTGGTGTTCAAGAAGCTCTTAGTATAATATGGTTTACTAGAATTCCTCGAAGTGAATCGAGGGTGTTTCTTAGTGAAAACGATAAGATTATCGAATCCTTGACGTGGGTTTTAGGGTGTAAAATGGATGATTCTGCCATTGTTAAATCCCATGCAATTTCGGTGTTGAAAATACTACTTGAAGAAGCGAGTTCTACCGTACTGGAAAGGCTTAAACCTGAACTATTTGAGAGGATTGTTGGTGTTTTGAGAGAGAGAATCACTCAACAAGGTATAAATGCTGCCTTGCAGGTGTTGTTAGATGCTTGCCCTTGGGGAAGAAATCGGAAAATGATGGTGGAATCCGGTGCAGTTTTTGAGCTTATTGAGCTTGAATTGGGATCACCTGAAAGGAAAACCACAGAGCTCAATTCGGGTGTACTGTTTCATTTATGTTGTTGTGCCGAGGGAAGGGCCGAATTCATACGTCATGGAGGTGGCATTGCTGTGGTTGCGAAGAGAATCATGAGGGTGTCTCCAGCAGTCGATGATCGAGCCATTCTGATTCTTTCATTGATATGTAAATTCTCGGGAACAAGTATGGTGATCCAAGAAATGGTGGATGTTAAAGCTGTGTCAAAGCTATGTATGTTGCTTCAAGCTGACTGTGCACCATATGTGAAGGAAAAAGCTAGGGAAATCCTTAGATCACATTTTGATGAGTGGAAGAACTCTCCTTGTCTCTCAAGTCTGGAGCACCAGGTATCCACCTAGTTGATTTCCAATTCTGCCTTTTTTTCTTTTTTTTTCCTTCCTTCCAACCCATTTCTTATTACTATTAATTATGAGTAAGCAGTTTGAACCACACAAATGGGAACCCCCCACCCCCATTAATTAATCAATGGAAACTCTAACATATAGCTCTGGGACCATATTTGGTACACAAGAAAACTCGCCATGTGATACTCAAAGCTTCCATCTGATTCTTTCTTCTTCTTTTTTTCTTTCTAATTTTATGCTCTTCAAATGCTTAATTAAGGATACAAATTCTATATAGTAGTGATGGCATGGGACAACTCCAAGTAATTAATTAACACTTCTTGGTAAGAAATTTTTGCGGTGATGCAAATCGAAATGTTTTTTTTTTTTATCCAACTTGGGGGTGGAAAATGTTTGTGATGACTAATGAAAATTTCAAAATGATTCTTTAAGCATTCAAGTGAGACATTGATTGATTAAACCTTAGAATTTCAATATAGAAGAAACCAGGTTCAAAATCTTATATATTGGTTACAGAATGATAGGTTAGCTAAGTCCAGGGAGCTTTCTAATTAATTCTTGCAGCTTAGTTAAGGTCCAAAGTTCTCTTAATAAAATAACCTCTATTGATCGAATTAATATTAGGAGTGGATATATATATATATATATATATATAGGGTAGCTTGATTCTTCACTTCAAAACTGAATTGGTTTTGAAAATTTCAATATAAATCCCAAGAATTTCCAAGAAGATGCTCTAAATTACTCAACCGAACATAAAACAGATGAAATAAAACTTAATTTATTGCTTCCGATAGAAATACTGTCATGCCAGGAAATTTTTTATTTATTTATTATTATTTGTTTTTTTAAAAAAGGGGTTGTATTGTTCAAATCCCAAAGAAAGATTTGAAAAATGTCTTAGTATATACTTGCTATGAAAGCTGGTTGTTAGTTGTGTATTTACTTCATGATATGCAACTTGCAATATTGGAATGCGTAATCAAACTATGAAAGGGGAAAAGACGTTCAAGCGTAAAAGTTAATGAGTTCAGTTCTTGCTGCAAGATTTTTGTTCCAAATTATGCAATTTTTATAGAATAATCCAAATTCCAAGGTGCTCATCTATATATGTTTGGTTCCATGGTAAAAATGTAAATATTTCCCCCTTATCACAAGAAGAAGAAAATTTGGCAGGTTGGAAATAATTATTACTTTCTCTGTACCAATGTATTTGTGCAATACCATTGGATTTCAACTATTTATCAAAATATAATTTATGACTTTGTTTTTTAAAAAATATTTATGTCTTGAAAACGCTAGAAATCCACATACTTGGAATTAAGAATAGTAATTAAGGAAACATGGACAAACAAAGTGGGAGGGAATGCTTTTTGGGCTCAAAATTCGATATATAGAAACACAATGGTTATATATATATATAAAGTTGTGAAAATCTCACAAGTCTAGGTATTTTTGAATAATATGATAATAATTGTCAAAAACCTAGAGGCAATATAGTAGTATGTCCTAATTGACTGCAAACTAATAAATTAAAAAATAAAATAAAATAAAATAAAAATCTATAAATTTATTTTAAAAATATGAAAATTTAGAAAAGGAACAAAATAGAAATTATTAATTCCTAAACTAGAACAATATTGACCAGTTTTGTATGTTTGGATTACTAAAAAGTCCAAAAATGAGTTTTTAAAATAAATTTTGACATCAAAAAGACCTTTGATGACTATCATATTATTTTATGCTGTAGGTTTCTGAATATATCTTTTGAATTAATATGATTTGCACCAATCAAATAGTCGAATTAATTAGAAAACTCATGCGGCTAAAGAGTACTTTTCAAAAAATGCATGCATTTGTTTAATGTTGTTTAGCAAAATTCTTTAGAATGAAATAAAAAGCATTTGTATCAGCAAGGTTTGGATATGGATTTAGAGTTTGAGCTAATAAAAAAGTGCATGCATTTGTTTTGGATTGAGAGATTAATTGAGCAATTAATAAAAAGGGGTTTTAATGTTGAAGAAGGCCGAGACTGTGTTTTTCCCGTTTCTTTAATGGGCTATTAGTCGTAATTATAGATCGAAACCCAGATCCATAAATAAGGCCCCCCGGAAAGAATATAGCAATTGTAGTTGCAGGTTTATTGTCCATGGAACCTTTTCTTTGCCCCTAGCAAAGTTGGCAAGTATAAGTTTCGTTGGTAAAAAGAAAATTGCTCAGGACAATCACGGATGTCTGCTAGTCTAGTATATAAATTTCACGTACTCGTGTGACTTGTAAGTCCTAATAAATAGAAATTTAGTTTCGTTGGTAAATCACAGATACAGACTATGTTTTTCTTATTATTATTTAGAATTCGGATTCTAAAAGAGTGTAAAAATTTAATATCTTATGAATATATTAATTTGATAATCAATGATCGATAATTTAATTCAAATTCGATCCAAGAGAAATTTAGTTCGAGAAAATGAAAACTGACCTCAAGATTAAAGAAAATAATAATAATAATAAAGTCATGTCAAGCAATGTGTTTAATAATCTTTTTTTCAATAATAAAAATGCCTTCAAATTAGTTTTCGAGTACATTAAGATTAATTAATAATTAATCACTAGATGTTGTTAAAAGATATCTTCCAAACGTATATACGATCTCAAGTGTTTTAAAAATAAATTTTTAAAAACATCGATTATAAAAATTAAATTTTAAATATGATTTATAAGTAAGGAGTGGAACATCTTATAATCAACTTTATTCGATGCCTGCAAGTAGTTGATGGGTGCAGACGGGAAAAGCAACCAAGAAATGTTGATTCCTCCTCTATAATATTTTTTTGGCTCCAAGATTATATTCAGATTGAAAATTCCTTTGCCAAACTAGGCAACACAGATACAAACCATAAAGCTAATTAACCTCAATAGTCAACAAATAAGATTAAGTGGAGCAGCAATTTATTAAACTAGGTTCTAAATAGCGAACTCCTTTTATTAATTTCCGTACCATTTTGCAAATTCCGTTTTTTTATGTTAATTTTGAAATAAAAGAAAGTTGATCGAATAAAATGTTTTAAAAAGATGGTTAATTGCACTCTTTTTTTTATTTTAAGATAAGAAAACCAAAACAAACAAATTTTTTATTTTTATTCTTAAAAAATTTAAAAACAAGAACAAAAAGGTAAAAGGATTTAATACCAAATGGCTTTTTCAACCACATGATGCGGTGGTTCGTGCTCATTCTATAACCACGTTCAACGACTCCAACCATACCAAGATTAAAAACTAATTGGGGATATAAAATTCAAATTGAATGATCCTCAATTTTAAGAGACAGATTAAAAAATAATGACAAGTGATCAGTGATGGCACTCAATCAGACTTCTGTTTGTTTGTTTGTTTGTTTTCTTTTTTCGTTTTCTTTTCTTAAATTGATATGAAATCAGTTACAATCCAACAATCGAAAAAGGTGAAATGCTTTTGCATCCAATTACTGATCTAATAAGGTAATAAGAAATACAGCACGTGGAGTTCGTGATGTAATTACCGGATCAGGTGATTTAAATCTAAAAGCAATAGTTTAAGCAAAATGAAAGCATGCAAATTTTTAGGCACAAAACCACACCTAATAATTTTAATAATAAAAATTTGATGCAATGATCAAATTAGGTGAAAGTACAACGAGTATTATTATTATTATTATTATATGACATTAACAAGAGTGTAGGATGTGGTATATAAGTACGGATGCTCGTTTTATTTGGTTTAATAAATATCTATTAAATATGTTCAATGGGTATTGAAGTGGATATGAATAATAAAAATACTTATTCAATAATATGATTTTAAAGTATGAATACCTACTTGTTACCTTATTAATATTCATTTATTTAAATTTTTGAATTAAAATATAAGAATCTAACTGCATAAAATTTAAAAATTAAGAACTATTTTTTTTCCTTAAACTTTGAAGCTAAAAAAAGACTTATTAAAAATGACCAAAATGCAAAAAAAAAAAAAAAAAAAAAAAAAAAAAAAAAATTACAAACCAAAAAAACTTTTTCTGAAAAATTATAAGATGAATATTTTTTACAAATTAAATTTAGAAACTATTAAATGGATAATAAATGAATTAATAAACTAAAATTGACTGAATAAAAATTTATATTATAAGTTTTTAATGAATATAGTATTTTTTATAAATAAAATAAAAAATTAAATTAATGAATCAAATATCCTTTCGTTGCCATCCCAGTGGCATTTGAATGAAAATGGGTTGTTAACACTTACAACCTAGATGGATTGTGCAGAAAGGGATGCCTACCTTTTTGTATATATTGTTAATTTTCGTAATAAAAACGAAAAGAAATATTGCATTGCCGTGCTTCTTTTTAATAGAGCACAATTTCTTCTCAATGAAGTGGTTGGAAATTAGAATTACAAGATTTTCTTAAAATAAATTATTTATTTTTTTAATATTGGGATAAGTACTTTTTCCCTCCTTAAATTCTATCCTACTCTTTTTAATTTTTAAATCCGAAACTTTCAAATGAAATTTATACACTTTAATTACTGAGTTTTCTGTTCGAAAGGCTAAAAAAAAAAAAATTGTATTACCAGGTCAAAAGCTTCTTTAAAAAAAAAACCAAAAAATTAAAAAGATGAAGTGGACAGAAGTCATGGCAACATCGATCTGAATAACACTAGTTAATTGACTAATTCATTGTTAAATCACCATTAAAATAGTTCAAAGGCATTCTTTTGTTTTCTCCTTTTAATTAACATAATGGATTGGTTTTCATAGTTAGAAACTCCTAACAACCCAAGAAAGCAAAATTGCAATGTTGGCCCAAGACTTCTTCTTTTTACTTGTTAGCAGCAGCCGTCAAGCAGCGCAAGGAAACAAAGGTAAACTAAACTTCTCTACTGACTGCTGGGTCTACACTAGATTCACACGGCTAGCTACAGTTCCCAGAACATGGCTCCAATTCAAGCCAATGCCA